TATTCAATTTCACCCTTAAATTAATTTTACCCCACTTATTTGTTAAAACCATTGATTTTTACTCTTTAATTCTAGGCAAACCCCTATGCAGTATCAACTAATGTAGAAGAACTTTCACACAATATATATACAATTTCCTAGCTCCATACTTGAGATAAAGGCATCACCCAATTCAGGCCTAGGGTGGGCTAGCGCCCTCCCTGGGCTTTAAAAAAATCTGAAGGTTGTTCCATTTAGACCCCAATACTTTACATAATTTTAATTATCCCTTCAAATAAACCCAAGGTCCCAAACCAGCAAAAATCACTTAGCTCTCTAATTTTTACCCAATCCAGTCAAGTTCAAAAACAAACTAAACAAAATTATAATTTATAAATAAGACCCATCATATACAAATTAATTACTCATTTCTCAATTCAATAATTAAGCCGAAAAACAAAATAAATAGAATTTTATATCATAAATAAATAAAACAAATTTATACAAACTTAAAAAAATTAAAGTTGCGAGAAGCTTACGGTCTTTATTACCATATGAATGATATTTTACTTAGTTTCTTTAGTTTAATTTACCTTTAGAAAATTAGGACTTTTTTATATATTTCCCATGTTAATATGATTTCCTTTATTTGCCTTACCATATATTAGACAAAATTATAATTGTATTAAACAAAGAATATTAACAATAAAAATTAAAGTTTCTATATTTATCATTATAATTTTTTGAAATATATTATTTTTTGAATTTCGCCCCACCTTGCTTAAATTTTTGGCTCCGCCACTGCTTAAACCTACTATCTATCTATCTATCTTATATAAAGAGTATAGCTATACATATCAACTTTGTATCCCAATTTATGTGGTAGTTGATTTGGCAATATAATTCAATAATCTCTCATACTAAGATACTGTATCAAATATCACATTTAGAGCTGGCATTTGGGACCGGGCCCAAAAGCCCAGCTCCAAAACCCGTCCTAGGAGCCTGGTCCCAAAACGGGACAGGCCTAAGGGGGAGGGCCTAGGCCCTCCACTGGGCCCAAATTTTTTTTGCCTTTTACATTTTAGTCATTTGTAAAATTGTATTAAACCCCCTAAAATAAGTATAAATTATAAGGATAAAGAATTTTACAAAATTATTAAAAAAAAAAATTTACCGTTGGCTGCCAACGTTATAAAATTATTTATAACACTGGTAGCCAACGGTCACTCACACCAACGGTTATAAACTTATAATTATAATTTTTTTTTTTTCATTTTCCCCCCCACAACTACACTATAAATAACCCTAAAACCTTTAATTTTTTTCACACCAATCAATCTCTCATTCTTTCATTCTCTCAATCTCTCTACTCCAAATCTCCAATCAATTTCTCATTCAATTTATTTATAATTATTTATATTATTCAAATTTTTTTCTATTTTTCAATATCATCATAATTTCATATATTATTATTTATTTCTTTTCATTTTAATTATTTATATTTTATCATAAATTTATAATGTCTTCCCCAAATGAGTTTTACGTTCCATCCTGAAGAAATTGAAGCCTTCAATCCATTTTCACCATTTCCTCCAGAGGATGCGCTATATTCCCAACCATATTCGGTCGGGACGAGGTGTAGCCAAACACATGTGAGCTGCGAGTCAACGGGCACAGACATAGCCCAACCCCCCCGACCGTCAAAGAGGTTCGTGTCTGATTCTGGCGATACTTCACCAAATCAAAACGGCCAAAGAAATGGGGAGGGGAAGAATCTGTGGGATATGTAATTTATGTGGAACCATTATTGGGGTTGAGAAGGGACTTCGACGATGCGACGACACGTAGAGAAGAAGTATCCCAATAAATGCATCTTCAATCGGATCGTAGACAAATTCAAACTCAACTTAATTTTAATCCACAATCCTCAACTCTCTCAACATGGCAATACAATATACATGTTGCACGAGGGAAATACAAGATATATAGTTGCTACGGACCTCCCATTTGTTTATCTGAAAATCCTTTTTTTGTTAATATGGTTAAAATTGCATTTTGTCCAGCATATACCCCTGTTAGTAGAATCAAGTAGAAGAGATATACTAAAACTTTATAACAAAATAAAATAAACTTAAAAACGAATTTCAAAATTTTAGGAATATATCTATTGCACTTACATCAGACATTGGGCTTGTAGACCAAAAACTAATTTTTTAACTATACCAGTTCATTTCTTAGATCATAATTGGGGTTTACAACAAAAATTGATAGGTTTTAAACCATTATATGAAAAACATAGTGCTGAAACTATTTATTTTACATTCTAAAGTTTTGCAAAATATTTATTACTGATGAGTTGTAGCGCTAATCTTAATGTGCAGCTGCTAACACCGCGGCAATCTCTTTATTTGAAAAGAAATTGGATCCGCTTGGTGAGGCAAATTTATCACCAGAGATGTGCTTGTCACTCATCAATTTGATAGTTAAAGCAGGTTTAGATGCTATACATTCATGGAGAGGGTGCGTAGAGCTATCGGATTTATTCGTCGCGGTAGCAATAAAAGATGCAGGAGTCGTCAAATATTGTAAGCAAGAGAGCCACCGGTTCGACCTTTGAAGTTATGTACAGACATGCCTATCTGTTGGAATCTACCTACTTGATTTGGAAAAGCTTTGCCATCCGCGAAACAAATTACAGATTTTGTCAACCGAAGAACTATCCAGAGGAAGTTGTCAACTATGATGATTGGCGGTTTGTGAACTTTTTTATCATTTCTTAAAATTTTTTATGATGCTACTAATACATTAAGTGGTATTTATTATCCAACTACTATTTTATGTTGATATTTAGTTCAAATTGCTAAAACTTTTGATCAATAATATGATAACATTTTAAGTGAAATGTTTTCAAGTATGGAGAAAAATATAAGAGATATTGGTTAGAATTCCATTCTTATATGGATTAGCCTTTTTCTAGATCATAGTTTAAATTATCCGTAGTTAACGTTGTATTACTGAGTTAGGCCATTATTAGGACATGATTATACGTCTTATTGACTGACTTTAAACACAAATTGGTAGGCTTTTTTCTTTATATGAGAACATATACAATGGAAGTAGAAGTGGAAGTGGAAGTAACGTCTAGAGAGGCGATCAGGACCTTGATGTAGCCCCCCCTCAATGGTCGAGCAAGTGGGCGTGTGTGGGACGTGGCGGAAGCTCCAGCTCGTACATACATAGACTAAATGAGATGACTCTACCTACAGGTGGACTTGACCTTTATGACGATGAGGAGCAACTTGACATGGATATTCTTCAATGGTGGAACCAACAAGAAAGTCAATTCCCCATTATATCCCAAATGGCACGTGACATTTTATCTATGCCAGTTTCTACAATTGCATCCGAGTCAACATTTTCAACGAGTGGTCGGATTGTTGAAGACAGAAGATGTTCTTTAACCGATGAGATGATTGAAGTGATAACGTGTTTATGGGATTGGACTCATGCAGAAAGAAGACTACAACAGCACCCTGAAGATCTCGAACTACTCGAACTCTTTAAGAATACAGATTTGAATAATGTAACTAGTGTTGACGATGAAATTGAAGATGAATAATTTAATAAAAAAATTATTTAATTGTTTATTTGTGAAGCGTGAATGTGTGAAATGTGAATATTACATTTATGTTAAAAATTAAAATTAACTATTAATTTATTATTTTTTAAAATTAATTAAATTTTTAGAAACTTACTAATCAACTCCTAAAAAATACTAAAAACCCCCTATAAAATTTTTTTTGCCCCCAAAATATAAAAAAAATTGAGGGGGGAAAATAAAATTATCCAAACCCCATGGGCCCATAGGACCAGTCTCGACCAGGCCTAAGGCTTGGTCCGGGTCCTGGTTTTTCTCATGGGCCTGGGACTCATGAGTGACCAGTCCCATTTGGGACCAGTCCTAAGGGACTAGTCCCAAACGAGCCCAGGTCTGGGCCCGCAAGGGACCGATCCCTTGCCCAGCTCTAATCACATTAGTTGAAATACAAATTTAAGATTTCAACTTTATGCATGTAACACTATCGATATATAAATATTTCTGGGTAATATTATTCTGGGTGAGGATTCCATATGAAACCAGACCTCAATCTTGGCCCCTTGTGTTTAGGGATTGCTTGTAACCAATAATATCTTAGAGAAAAAAAATATATAAATCACCTTACCTCATTATCATTAGATTACCATTGTATAGTGAGGATTTTCATTCTTATATCCCACAATTTCTTAAATTTATATAAGTATACATAATTTCATCCATAAAATTTAATGTTTTCTTCAACCCCTCTATTCGTTGAATCTTACACTTTGACCCCCTGATAGTTAGTCAATCATATCTCCTAATTTCCTTGCTGAAAATGGCTTAATCAACATCGAATCATGTCGATAGTTAATCAATCACATCCCCAAGCCGTCCTGTTTATTGGCGTCCGAAACCTCATATCAGCCCATCGCCATAATCGCAACCATTGCCTATAACGACCAATTCTATCAAGCACACTAGCATCATGTGTAAAGGAAAAAAATTAAGTAAAACTCAAAACAATATGTAAAGGGATAAATTAGATTTCAAATTTGTTTATCTTTACCTATTACAAACAAGAAAATGATTTAACAATCTAATTTGATCACTCATCAATTTAATAGTAAGCTTTGACCCATGTGTTGCTAATTTATTTTCACTTATGATTATCAGGTGTTTGTTTTTTCATTGCAGCATTTTAAAAAGCTAAAACATATAAACCTTAGTCACTCCAAGCACCTGATCAGAATCCCAGATCTCTCATTGTCCCAAATCTTCAGAGCTTGATTCTAGAAGGTTGTTTACGTTTGGTTGAGGTTCTGTCATCCATTCAATATCTTGAGAAGCTAGTTATGCTAAATCTACAAGATTGCGAAAATCTTACGAGTCTTTCCATCAACATTCAATCAAAATTTCTTGAAGATGTTATTCTTTCAAGATGGCTCCAAAGATCTCCTCTAGAATGGAAAGAATACGTTTTGATGGAACTGTAATCCAAGAAATACCCTTCATTGAGTCTCCATCAAGACTACTCGTATTGGATCTTAAAAATTGTTATAGGCTTGTGAGTCTTCCGAGCACCATATTTAAGTTGATGTCTCTTACAGTTCTTTATCTATCAGGTTGTTCAAAACTTACTAAATTGCCTGACAGCTTGGGAAGTTTAGAAGGTTTGATGGAAATCGAAGCTAATGATATTGCCATTAAAGAAGTACCATCATCAGTAGTAAAGTTGATAAAACTTCATAGTTTATCCTTGCGGCGATGTAAGGGTCAAGAGCCGGTGGGTTTTAGATTACCAGCAATTTTATCTGGCTTGGGCTCTTCGTCGATTTTAGATGTATCTGATTCTGAAATCATCAAGTTGCCAAACAATTTAGGCATATTATCCAGTCTATATCCATTAAATCTAAGTGGAAACAATTTTGAGAGCATCCCAACAACTACAAGTATCAAGAAACTTTCGAAATTGGAATTTTTGGATGTAAGCTTTCGCGAGAAGCTTAAATCTCTACCAGAGCTACTACAGCTTCCACATGTCAGAGCGCAGAATTCCAAATCATTGAAGGCATTATCAGATTTATCATTTATATCGTCAGTTCCTTTATACCTTGAAAGTACATAATGCCAAACCCTACAATCTTAGTTCAGATCATGTATTCGTAGGTTACAATTTCCTTCGAGATGAACCATTCGGAAACAAACCCACTCAAACAAAAATCTACAGTAACACTGGATAATAACACTTTTTCTTGAAGTGTTATTATAGACTATCTATGGTAACATTTGATATTAAAATGTTATGATAACAATTTTTATATGTAATACTTTAAGTTTTAATAACACATTTTATATCAATGATAACTCTCTTTTTGAAAATGTTATTAATATATATCATCAATAGCATTTTTAAAATGTTACAAAAGACCTTATAATATAATAGTTTTTTATAATGTTATTATATAATCAAAATACAATAACATTTTAAAATTGTTACCATAAACCCAATTATTGACTGGGAAAGAAAACATTATTCCCGCCAACATGAAATGAGATTGATTTTGTCTCATTTTTATTGTTTAGGGGTCAAAATATGTTATTTGGGGTTTGCTTTGTCACTTTTCATTCACGTAGGGGCCAAACTGATTTTTTTTTTAACTTTTTTTTTTTAGTATAAAAGGAAGATGGAAGGTTGTGCAAAGCCAAAAACGTCCACCCATCTTCATCCATTTTCCGATGACCGTCCAACTTCCACCTCCAGCAACCATTTTCCTTCTCCGATGGTTAGCTATGATCATCTAAGACCTTCCTGGATTTTGTCGACCGTTAAGCTTCCTTCATCCACGATCGTTCATATTCCCGACAACTTTTCTCTATTTTTCAGAGACTTCTAGACATCCTAAGGGCCGATCCATACTCCCTACGGTCAGATCCACCTTCCGCAAGCTTGGTTGACTTTAAATCTCGCCAGAAAAAGCCATTTCACCGTTGTGACTCTTCACCTTTCCAGCATGATTTTGCTCACTTTTTGGTGTCTTTTCGTCTCCCAATCACATATTTGGACTCCTTCTGACTTGATCTACCTCTCACGAAGTTTTGGAGCATTTTCGTCATCGTCGCCAGCGCCCTCACCAGCAATCTTTCAACTTCAACGTCCATTGGTCTTCTTTCCACCACAAATCAGTCCATCTTGCTGCCGGTTACTCATTTCCACCATAATCAGCTCCATTTCATCTTCATAGAGTAGGAATTTAATTTTTTTCAAATATATGTTTACATCAAATTGTTACGTTAACTCTAGGATTAATATATAAAGCAGATTGATGACCTTATATGGTCCAGAAATTTAACATCTTTTAGGATAAATAGCATGTGCGATTGGTAGTCAAGTTTCATGTTTATAGTTTGTTGTATGAACCTTAATTTGGTAATTTGCTTAGAATTAACTTATGTTCTGATTGAGAAGCCTAGATTGATGTTGTGTGTTTGTTTGGCGGCACATGAGAAAAAACAATTGCATTTAAGATAAGGAAAAGATATTTTTTTTTTTATTAGGGTTTGTGATTTGGGAGTAAGATTTTTGAAATGGTGTGCTATGTTTTCGTTATAGCTTATAGTGATTGTGATCATGATTGTGATGTAGGGTAAGATTTTTTAAACGTGATTGTGATCGTTGTTTATAATTGAAGGGACGAGGATATATTTTAAAGTTTGCATATTAGTTCTTAGTTTTGTTTATGATAAAAATGGAGATCTATGACTTTAATTACATATATGTTTAATTTTTTTTTTCCTTTAATTTGGTTTTGAGAAAGATGACAAAAAAGAACTTAAGTAAAAAGAAGTAAATATCATATGCGGTTGATAGTGAAGTTTCATGTGTATAGTTTGTAGTATGAACCTATTTTTGCTATTTTGCTTAGAGTTTGCATGATGTTATGATTGAGAATCATGACTTGATGTTGTGTGCTTGTTTGTCAACACATGAGAAAAAATAATTGCAATTCAATTATTGGCACCTTAAAACAAAGTAGATGAATTGGTTATTGTGTTGGTTAATTCTTTTTCTCTCAACTCATGTTTCTTTGTTATTCACAATGCTCTTGCCATGTTTACCTATAATTATTCATATATTGTTTGGCTTTTGTTAATTGTGTAGATTAAGTAATGTGAAAACTAAAGGATATTCTAGTAGAATTTGGTTAGCAGATAGTTTTTTAAGTTTTAGAATTCACCACAAACTTAAAAAACATTATGAGCAACAAACATAGCCTAACAAAAGGGAATTACATTTGAATTTGATTTATTGGTCATATCAGGACAAACATTTCACCAATGCTATAATGATGATGAATAAGGATTGGATGCATTTGATCAGGTAAGAAAAATATTAAAAGACACACCTCTTAGTATGAAGTAATAATGATTTTCCTTAACAAGGTTTCAGATTTTTTTTTTTTTTTTTTTGATAGAGCTACAGGTGCATACATGTACGGTGCACGGAACTTTGTCAAGTTGGCTAAAAAGAATGTAGGCTATCAAGCGAAGCACTTCTTCCTAGTTGGCTTGATTGGAAAGGGTCTAATGAAGTAGTAGCTGAATGATGTTTTTCATCAGATGATCCAGAAGCAATTGTTCATCATGTTACTATTAGACCTAATGCTATGAGAGTTTGGATTGATATAGCCAAGGTACCTAATGAATTTTTGTGGAGGCTTGCATCTGGAATGATTTCTATTGAAGATGTTGTGGGTAGTACAGTTGCTTGGCCCGCCGACAAAGTTGTCCTAGCTTTTCCAAAACAATTTTAGGTAACTTCTTTTCCATTATATCGTCTCTTAGGTTTCATCTATTGTAACATATATTATAATGATATAATTTGGAGATAAGATTAGAAAATATGTAATATTGATATAACTTTTAAACTTGCATGGTGCCAATTTTTAGAACTAGTGATTGTGAAGTTGGAGATTTAAATGTGTTTTTTTCCTCTTTGTTTTGTATTAAATGTTTGGGGTGTTTACTGTTAGGGTAGGTGCCCTAGAGCCAATTAAATTGTAATTAATAAACGGCAACTCGATGTTATGTAAATCATATTTCGCATATGTTATAATATATGTCCTTAGAATAGTACAACTGTGATGAGTGAATCAATAAGTGATAAGTCTTGATTGTGAAATCCCTATGAGCACATTTGGTGGCCATTCTAAAAATCATTCTTAGCCATAGTATTTTCTTGAATTAAGGGAACAGATAATACGATAAGGCTATCATCATGTTGAACGACTTATCGAAAGATAGTAACGGATCTTATATGTTAAAGTTGTTTGGTGACAACTTGGTGCGACTCATGGGTGCTTGTGGTTGGCAAGTTCACTGAACTGACCTTTCAGAGGATTCCATATAGATGGTAACCCTAATGTCTATGGAATACATCCTCTAATGGATGGTGATGCATATGATCCTTAGACTTGAGATCACCAGAGCGTTGTGTGTAAATACCGATGTAGTTTGACGCTGACCTAACGTAGTCCTATTTAGGGTTATCAGAATGGAAGTGATTGGCTACATCGAAAAGTACATCATGACTATGGTGGATCGACACAAGAATCATCACTCTTGGGTACATGAGAAATTATCTCGCTAAGTAATTCAGTAAATGGAAACAATCGTAAAACTGTGGCTACAGTAGAATTGAGTTGGTGCTCAAGTTCGGTTAAGTCATTAGTTTGAATTACCGAATACAAATAGGTCTAGGTAGTATATTTGAAGTTGACATTATTTATATACTTCAAACCTTGATGAAATAATAATTGATGAAAAGATTCGATCACACAGTAACCATACCGTTGACCAGCAGTTGGTATGTTGAATCTGAATCTATCAGGCGGTCATGATGCCTGGCTAGAGGCCAATCTTGGTCTGTGTGTAATGAGACAATTGGTTGAGTGTCAATTGCAATATGACCCATTGCCGATATGATAAAGAGCCTACGGATCACACACTTAAAAGACAAATAAAAAAAAGATTTGGAATAAGGGCAATTTGTCATTTTTGGGATGAAGGGTATTTTTTTAATTCTTACAGTGTAATTAAATTTGCTAGAAGGTTGTCCCCAATGTCCAATTTAAATATTGGATTGAATTTGTAAGATTACATATTTATTCAAACATATATATATTGATGTATATATTAAATGAATAAATTATCGCTATTTAAATTAATATATTGGTGTATATGCATTTTAAATAGTGAATTGTTATTGTACGATTAAAGCAATAATAATAAAATACCAAACCGACTTTTTCTTGGGCACTAAGTAAAGTCCAATTAAGTTAGATATTAGTAGGGGTACTCTTGAAATTGTGCAAGAGTAATTAGGGATAGGGTTTGCCTAAAATAAGGCACTTAACCCATTGATTTAGCCCAATCTTGCCTCACAAGCTAAAATGTTGTAGAGAGAAAATTTTCTAAGGAAAATTTCATCCATTTTTCTTCTTGAACCTCCTCAGCCAAACTAGTAAATTGATCATGTGGGGATTTTTGTCTTTGTGTAGATTTCCATTCGTGCACTTCTATTCTTGATGTGGGAGTGTTTTGCTACGACACCCGAAGGAGTCTCCAATCGAAGGTTTGATTATAACGTTTGTTTAATCTTATGTATATGTTTGTTTGAACGGGTTTTTAACATCGATCTATGATCCGGGTTTATGGGTTTTGAATAAATTTTTGTTTCCTATTCTGCTATTTTTTCAATTAAATCCCTACACAATTGGTTTTGTAGGTTGTGAAAATGCAAGAGTACTTTTTTGGTAAAGCACAATTGGGAATGGAAGATGGTATGCATGGTGGCTTTTGTTGTTAGAATTAATTTTTGAATGATTGGAAAATATTCATAGTTAATTGTCCAATCATCTAGCTATTAGATTTTATGGAAGTAAAGGATGTTGGGTGCCTATTTATTAGGCATATATGCAAACATTTTGTATATGGAGGTTCACCATCAATGAAATGTTCTTTGAAAAATTAGTGTATTATTGTTTATAATTTGTATTATTAAAGTAACAACTCTAACAGTTTTTATATATGTTATAAAGTAAACGACATGTTCTCACCCAAGGTTTAGCGAAATGGAAAGTTCCCACCCTTGGTTTCATTTATTCCAGATTCCCACCCTTAATTAAGCACAGCCAGTGACTGTTCAACTAAGGGAGAGAATTTGGAAAACTGTCTTGGGCCTTTATCGAGCAGGTGGCAGGCATGACTTTGGGCTTTGATTTTCGACGAATGGGAAGTAAAAAATGACCAAAAAAATACCCACACAAACTACAGCACAAGCAGAGTCTATTGGTGTAGTCCGATGACACTGATTGCTCTCCAATCGAATAGAAAACGACTGAGAAGATACCCAAAATCGTAAGGTGACAAGTGTGAGAGTGGCTGGAAAAGTGAGTGATGACGGCAAGTGGCCGTATGCTTTTGTAGAGGAGGTCGTGGGGAGTCCAATGGTGGTCTCGAAAATTATTTTGGAGTTTGGGATCGGTAAAAAAAAGCCAAAAATCGATGGCTTGGGTGATACTAACGTGAGCCGCTTCTTGCTAAAACTAGCCAAAGGAGCACCTATGCACATTAGTGTGCCAACGTGAGCCTTGTTACAATGAAAAGTTAAAATTAAGGAAACGATGTTAATTTAAGGGTGAGAATTTGAAATTTATGAAACCAGGGTTGGGAACTTGTCATTTCGCTAAGCCTTGCAAAGGACCATGTGGTTTACTCTCTATTCTATAATGGATACATTGATAGCACTTTGAAAATGTTATGGAAAATAATTTTATAACATTTAATTACAAAATGCAATGAATATCTATCTACAACACTTTTTAAAACTTTGGTAGCACTGTTAACATGTTATTAACTTTCAATAAGTCTAATAGAATGCTATTGTTAAGTATATTATAGCACTTATTTGTAGTTACAAATATTTTAGGTTACACTGCATAAATGTTATAAATAAGTTTTTCGTAACATTCTTTATCTATTATAGTTTAGTTTTTTGTAACATTCTTTATCTATTATAGTTTAGTTTTTTGTAACATTCTTAAAATGTTATAGATAACAAATCTATAACATTTTTACAATGATGTAGATTGGTTTTTCTTAACATTGTTAACATGTTATTAAGAACTATTTTATAACATTTTAACAATGTTAAGAAAAACCAATCTATAGCATTGTAAAAATGTTATAGATTTGTTATCTATAACATTTTAAGAATGTTACAAAAAAAAAACTAAACTATAATAGATAAAGAATGTTACGAAAAACTTATTTATAACATTTATGCAATGTAACATAAAATCATTTATAACTACAAATAAGTGCTGTAATATACTTAACAATAACATTTTATTACACTTATTGAAAGTTCATTTATAACTATCAATAAGTGCAACAAAAATTAGTAATGACATACAAAAAGTGTTACCAATGTCTACTTTTTAGTTACATGGGCTATATAACAACACGCTTATAAATGTTACCGTTTACCTACGGTAACACTATTTGCATGGTACAGTAGGCCATTTTTGTTATAGTGATTAGAAAGGACATACCTTGAGCCATGATACTAGTTGATAATGTTTTATATGATTAAGAATACTGGTTTCTCTTTGCTTTCCTCTCTTTAATTTTCCAAAACTTTTGTTTTGCTAATTGATGGAGAAAATATGAACCAAGTTTTTAAGAAATAAACTTCCCTTAAATACATGTTCCATCAACGTGTATAACTAATAAAATAATAATTGGATAATGTTCAATTTATTATTAAACTATAATAATATTATTTATATATTAATGAGTCATATATAATTTTATCTTACATACATGCATGATAGAATGGTCACCTTAACATTACCTGAGGAATCATCGTACTTTGTCCATATCCATGGCGAATATAAGTTTGACTTCGATTCTTGCATCAAGGAACATTATTCTCTTAAATGGGAATGTTAAAAACAGTGAATCTTACCAATTTGAAACCCGTGAAAACCACCCATACTTTCACTATTTCGATTGTGAAAAGAACACAAGGTAAATATTTCAAGTCACAAGAGAGAAGAATCATGAACATGTAGCATTGGTAAATTGCTTTTAGGGTAAGTTTGATTTTTGGAATGTTGGATTACTGTGAATATTACATTAATGGAAAGATAGATTACCTTGAAGTTTACTGAAAATTTTTAGGGAAATGGGTTTGGTTAGGTAGAAATAAATGGGTAGGTATGTTATATTGATATGTTTGGTTGGAAATAATAAATTGTTGGTATACTTACCTACCTACCCCCCCCCCCCCCCCCCCCCAAAAAAAAAAAAAAATTGTTGAGTATGTTTTACAGATTATTAAATTTCCCTTCTTTTTAAATATTAATATAATAGTATTATTATTATTATTTTTTAACTATTTCTTTTGACCCCCTACAATTGAGATTTTGCTAAAACGCCACAACCACATAAAAGTTTATATTTTAACAAAATTACCGCCACTTACCCCAAGCCATTGCCAGCAACCACCGTCGGCCGCAATGGCAGTGCCCAAGATGGTGCACAATCGGCTAGATCTGGCCAGCCATGCATTGATATGGTTGTTTCTGGTTAGATAAACGGTTGGAAACGGCTAGATGGTCGTAGATCTAGCCAAAAACGGCCAGATCATTGGATCTAGCAGAAAACGGCTAGATCATTGGATCTAACCGTTTTAAGCCAGATCCATGGCCACTTATGGCCATATTTATGGCTATTAATGGCCAAGGATCTGAATGAAAATGGAAAAATTCATCGATTTGGCCAAAAACAGCTATAATAGATATGACCATTTATGACCAAATATACTACCATTAATCTAGTGAGTTATGGCTAGATCGGCGCACGACCGGCTAGATCCAGCCAGTCATGCGTCGTTCCGACGACGTCAGTCGATGATGGTGGCTAACGGTGGTGGCTGGCAGGCGGCACTAGTCCTAGGTGGCCTACAATTTGTTTTAAATAGAAGGGTATTATTGTCCAAAAAATTAATTAATTAGGGGTGAAATTGTAATGGCAGGTTCGTGTACATTAATTTCAAAATAAGGGCATTATTGTAAAAAAAAAATTGATAGTTAAGAGTAAAATTGTAACAAAATACATAAGAAAATGGAGGTAATTAGATTACCAATTATATAACCAACAATAACTACTATTAGTTTTGGAAGATTACCATAATTTTATATTATTTGACAACCAAACGTGATAAACTAAGTAATATAAGATGACATTACCTTAATAATAGGGGATAACCCCCAACCAAACACCTCCTTACTGTTTATGTTGATTTCAAGTAAAAATAAAATAAATTAAAACATAAATAAAATCTGTTACTTTTTATATTGAATAATCTATTATACTTTTGCCATGAAACTTTATATATATCCCACATAATTCCTAGTGCTTATGCCCAATAAGCTAGAGAATTTTCATATTTTTTAGAGGAACAAAGCAATGAATTTTTTATTTCGATGATAACATAAAAAAATAAAAATAAAAAATATGATTCTAGTGTTTCTCATAAAGCTATGGATCATAACCAAGATTAAGAATTAATTTTAACTTTTATTTACATAGAAAAAAAGGGTCAAGTTTGCATACTTATTAAATTTGTTATAAGTTATATACACTTGATAAATAAAAATTGCTGTAAAAAAATAATTGTTGAATGTAATTTGCCAATTGGAAATGGCCCAATTAAAAATGAAAGTAATAACATTAGCGTTTTTAAATTTTTTTTTTTTTGATAAAAAGGGTCAACTTGCACATATATCAACTAATCATCAGGATTCATTGAATATCTTACAAGCTCAAGGTAAGTCACAAATTTGGTAGATGACCATTTTGTGGAACTCGAACACAAGATCTCTGGGTAATCCATCAAGATGACTAAAGTTTTACTATCTGGCCACAAGCTAGTGGTTTTTTTTTTTTTTTTTTGTTTTTTAACCTTTGGATAAAATAAGTATCTTTAAAAAGACATGAACGATGGTCAAAATCAATCCATTTATTCCATATATATATCCTTGAGAGATCGATAAGCATCAAATACCTTTTAATTTAATATTCTCAAGGGATATAGGCTCTAATTAAATTTGACCCAAAATAATAGTTGGATGACAATTGGGTTTACAAGGTTAATTAAACGAAACAAAACAGCATAAAAAAAGTCAAATGAAGGAAACAAATACAACTGATTTATAGAGAGGTACAAAATCATTCTCAATATTGCAACAAAAGTTGTCCCAGTTAATTAAAAGAATATAATATAATTAAAGCAAACTAATCCTTAATTAATAAACTAATTAACACAGAATGACAGGCCATCCAACAAAAGCTTTCTTATATTCTCTCCCCCACCACCAACTTTTGGGAATCTTCTCTTTGGACTGCATGTGAATTTTATATTCTCAACAGGCATTCAAACACAGAAACTCTACCTAAACCCTCAACATTTCAATTATTACCAAAATACACCTTTAAAAACAATATATATATCCACAACATTAGGTTCCATTTTGATATGAATGATGAAATACCAAAATTAAGGATAACAGTAAACAACTTTTCCCCGCCCAAATAATAACTTAATGACACTTTTCCACCCACATATTTTTAAAATATCATTTTACTGCCTAATTTTATATTTTGTTTCCGATTCCGGCATCGTTGTGACTCCACACTACCATCATTCTCTTATCTGATCATCATTCACCAAAACTCCTTAAACCTTACTCCCACCGACCCCACCATTCGCCGACAATAGAGCATTAGGGTTTGCACGATTGCCCCTCTCAAGTCAAATTCTGATTAATCCCAACCACCAAAATCGAACCTTCCACCACAAATAGACTTATTGTCCTCCCCTCTTCAAAAGTCCCAATAGCCTAGACTAAGTTTTATCTCTGTTCGCCATCGGAAAATAAATTTGAGTAATAAAATGGTATTTTTAAAATTCTATAAATGGAAAAGTGTGATTAAATCATTATTTGGGTGGGAAAAAGTCTCTAACTCTTAAGAATAATGATAATTTCATTCAAGCTAACCCCCAAAATTTTACAAGAAAATTGTGCAAGTGACAACATCACTTTAATATAATAAATGAGACAAAATCAAACCATTTGAATATTCATTTACAATAAGTAAATTTACATGGGTGTAAACTTTCTCAAAAATTTCAACATAAATCTCCTTCCCGCATCAACCTTGTTTATATATATATTACTATAAAAGAAACAAAATTAAACCCAAAAATAAATAAATAAATAAAAGGTAAGGTATCTAAAAGATATTTACCCATCAAACGTTGACTCCAGTCTCGCTCGAGTTCATCATCCACTCAGATACTTAGATGTACCAAAATTGAGTCAAAATATTAACTCAACTCAACTCAACTCACTTGAGAGCAATATCAGCCAAAATCTCTCTCAAAATCATCTTCCCTCTCGTAATATCACTGCAAATATTATCACCATTCTCGTTATCACGATCACAAATCAGTTTCTTCGATGGCATATCCGATCTCCTTTGCCGTCTCTTCATCCTCGTCACGCTTCCCCACAAGCTCATCCAAGCGGGAATCGTTCTAACTCGTTCAACAAAACACTTCTCCGCCATGAAAACCTCTCCGATTTCCGGCCGGTTTTCTTCCTCCAACGACACGCAACGGGCCGCCAAGTTCAACATGTGCTTGATCGTGCCCTCCATGTAACTCGGCATGGAAACACTCGTATCACAAATCGCCATTGCCTGCTTCTCTTTGATCAAAGCCGTCGCCCACTCGACGATCGACGCCGGTTGTTTCGACACGTCAATGGCCTTCCTGCAACTTATGATTTCTAACAAGACCACCCCAAAACTGAACATGTCAGTCTTTGTGCTTAATTTTTTCGGAGAAGTGTAGGAAGGATCCAGGTACCCGATGGTCCCCGCAGGCTGAATGGGCTGTGAAGTTATTGATGATTCATTAACAGCGAGCCCGAAATCGACGAGCTTCGGGCTCCAATTTGAGTCGAACAAAATGTTCGAAGACTTGATATCTCTGTGAATGATGACCGGATTGGCGACTTCGTGAAGAAAATGGATGGCCTTGGCTATTTGGATGGCGATTTCTACGCGTTTAGGCCAAGACGGCAGTGGAGAAGATGAAGATGAGTTGTGTAACAAGTCATGGAGAGAGCCATTAGGCAAAAACTCCATAACCAAGAGCTTGTTTTGATGTTCACAATCAGTACTTGTTCCCAAAAAGTTGACGACATTAGGGTTTTCACGATCACGTAGAGACGATAACACCTGAATCTCATTTTTGAGCTTCTTGGAGTTGTCATGAAAGACTTCATGCCCATTAAATGAAGCTCTTTTAACAGCAAAAACATTGTGATCGTCTTCAAGAATAGCTTTATAGACCGATCCATGGCTGCCTTTGCCGATGAGGGATGAATGGGAGAAACTTTGAGTGGCCTTGACGAGTTCTTGATAATCAAACTCCATAAGGCTGAACCAAATTTTCTTGCACTTTCTTCCCCAGATATATTTGTGGTGTTTGGAGGGAAAACAACCAAAATATGAGATAAAATGAAAAGGCTCGTTCTAAAAAGAAGAGATGAATGAATATGCAAGGGAAAAGGAAAGTGGGTGTACGTGAGAAAGTTGCAGAGAATAAAGGGGGTTTGGGGGACAAGAAAAGGAAAATTATAATGGAGGAATCATTGAGAGAATAAAAAGGGGAAAGAGTAGGAGAAAGAAAAGAAGAGAGACGGATGGATTAAGTATTGAAAAGGAATGGAATTGTGACGACTGAGATGCTCTTCTTCATTAGCTGGTTGTTGTTGTTGGGGACCTCGCCACTTTTTCTCTCTCCATTTCTTCATTTTTTTTTTCTTCTACAATTGATCAATTATTATTATTATTATTATTTTTTTTTTTGTGGGATATATAAACTTTAGAATAGAGAAACCAAATTGCATGCAATCACTTGTTTACACATATAATGAATATAAAGATAATTGGGTTTATGCTCATCCCAAGCTCTCTCTTTTAAGAAAGTCTTCTAATTGGATAACTTTATCTAATAAAATTTTGTTATTGAATATAAAAAATTTTGATTATAAATTTTTCATAGTATCATTCAACGTTTAGGTACTCATTTTAAAGTGCAGCAGAATATTTATCAAGTAGATTATGCAATTACAATTTGAACACATCAAGTATAAGTGTGGAAAAATAAAGAACACAATCATATACATGGTTTGGCTAAATCCATTTTTACCCTACATCCATGGGACCATATCTAGATCGAAACAATGCACTAAGTTAAAAACACATTACAAGATATAGTTCAAAACTGATTTAAGTTACAGTAAAAAAAACTCTCCTATTCAACTTTACACTTAGCACTACACTCTGAATTCTTAAAATAAAGCAACTCCTTGGATCTTCTTCATCCAGGAAACACACCCGAGAACAGCTTGTAAACCACCAAGCTTAAGCACTAACATCATGCACCAGCATCAGCAAAGGAACCACGTTCCAAGAGCTATCAACAACATGTTTGATATGGTGAGGTTTTGGGACAAAATAGGGAAATGAACTTTTGAACCTTAAGAGAAAGAATACTCTAAGAATTTCAGAGTTCAATGAAACAAAATATCAAAAGGTTAGATTCATACATGTAAGAAGATGTATTATATAATGAAGGATTTCTTACTCAATAATATAGTGCCAAGTCAGCCAACAAGGGACTGACCAATGTTTATCCAAATAAGAAAAGTTTTTCCTTCTTTCGGTTTGGACCACAAAACAAATCGGAAAAAAAAATTTATTCCCTATGACCACTTAAGGATGTTATGACATATGTAGAAAAGTCCTAAAAAGTGAGAGACAAAGATAAACAATATTTTTTTCACTTTTTCAAACATACAACTCGTGTTGTGTTGCAAATATCTGAAGCAAGAGTGAGAAGACAACCTGTTTCGCACACACACTCTAAACGAAACAAGCCAAGACTCAAGTTTGACAATTAGTGTATATGCAGAATATTTGTGCACACACACAATTCATAAATTTGACAAATATGAGTTTTCTACANGGGATATATAAACTTTAGAATAGAGAAACCAAATTGCATGCAATCACTTGTTTACACATATAATGAATAAAAAGATAAATTTGGTTTATGCTCATCCCAAGCTCTCTTTTAAGAAAGTCTTCTAATTGGATAACTTTATCTAATAAAATTTTGTTATTGAATATAAAAAATTTTGATTATAAATTTTTCATAGTATCATTCAAGGTTCTTTTATTTCAAAAATTGACATAAAAAGACTCAAAAACTTCTAAAATTTTGTATGTAAATTATATATAACTTATATGATAGAAAGTGAAATGAAATATATATGTTAGAGTTGTTGAACTCTATTAAACGTTTAGGTACCAATTTTAAAGTGCAGCGGAATATTTATCAAGTAGATTATGCAATTACAATTTGAACACATCAAACATAAGTGTGAAAAAATAAAGAACACAGTCATATACATGGTTTGGCTAAATCCACTTTTAGCCCACATCCATGGGACCTTATCCAGATCAAAACAATGCACTAAGTTAAAAACACATTACAAGATATAGTTCAAAACTGATTTAAGTTACAGTAAAAAGAACTTTTCTATTCAACTTTACACTTATCACTACACTCTGAATTCTTAAAATGTAGCAACTCCTTGGATCTTCTTCACGCCGGGAACACACCCGAGAACAGTTTGTAAACCACCAAGCTTAAGCATTAATGTCACGCACTAGCATCAGCAAAGGAACCACGTTCCAAGAGTCATCAACAACGTGTTTGATATGGTGAAGTTTTGGCACAAAATAGGGAAATTAACTGTTGAATCTTAAGAGAAAGAATACTCTAAAAATTTCAGAGTTCAATGAAACAAAATATCAAAAGGTTAGATTCATACACGCAAGAAAAGGTATTATATAGTGAAAGATTTCTTACTCAATAATATAGTGCCAAGTTAGCCAACAAGGGATTGACCAATGTTTATTCAAATAGGGAAAGTTTTTCCTTCTTTCGGTTTGGACCACAAAACAAATCGGGAAAAAAAAATTATTCCCTATGACCATTTAAGGATGTTATGAAATATGTAAAAATGTCCTAAAAAGTGAGAGACAAAGATAAACAATATTTTTTTCACTTTTTCAAACATGCAACTTGTGTTGTGTTGCAAATATCTGAAGCAAGAGTGAGAAGACAACCTGTTGTGCACATGCACTCTAAACGAAACAACCTAAGACTCAAGTTTGACAATTAGTGTGTATGCAGAACATTTGTGCACACACAAAATACATAAGTTTGACAAATATGAGTTTTCTACCATATATATATATATATATATTCTTGAAATGTGTGGACCAAACGTATGTCACAAACCCTAAAATCAAAATAGATGCTCATATTGGTTCGCATGTTAAAAATTTCAAGACATTTATACTCTAGAATATTTTTTATATAGAGAGAGACAAATAACTTTAGTAACACCATTTGAAATGATTGAGAGAATGCATTATAATTTATTATAGATATGAATTTAGAACCTCTAAATTAATTTATTAATATATTTATCTCCTATTCCCTCCTCTAAATTTTTATCCTCAATCTCTATTAAGAATTATTTCTCATGATTATTTACTAAATTAATAGTAATCTATATACATGCCTAGTTAGTAAATTCACGAATAAAACGCGAATTATATGCCCAACCATATCATTTGCGCAATTTTTGTATGTTGTCAGCACATTTGTATTATTTGCGAACTATATGCCTTAGACGTTTTATTTGCGAATTATTCCCATATTTTCCCGTATCTTAATTATTCCTGAATTTTTACAAATGTATTTTTCACAATTTGCTATATCATGCTTATAAAATTCCCATACCCTTTTTTTGCCATACTCGTATTTACTAACTAGGGTGAGTTTTTGTTATAGACTATAATTTGAATCTTAGTTATATTATTTATTTATTTTATTTGTTTGGAGTTCTAGTTCGACATTGGATTTTGGTTTTGTTATGTGTTTGATTTGAGACTATAATCGAATCTTGACTATATATTGTGTTTGATTCTGGAGACTATAATTTGAATCTCAGTTATATATTGTGTTATATTATTAGGTCTAATGATCATTGATTAATAGAATACTTTGCATTTGAAATGCTATAGTGATTTTAAACAGGGGGTCCATGAAAAATTATAAAATCAGGATTAATATTGCCGTATTTTTCAAAACGTATTATTGATAATGTGCCGTATTAAATCTGTATATACTCATACTGTATTTTTCCCGTATCCGAATTTTATGGCCAAATTTTTACAAACGTATTTTTTATCATTTTTTATATCTTACCCGTAAAATTCTTGTAACTTTTTTTGCCATACCTGTACTTACTAACTAGGACTACATGCATCCATGTTGAAGTAAAATTAACATAAAGTTTTCTTGTCTACACTATGACATTCACAAGGTTACAAAATTCAAAATAAAGAGTAGGTCAAGAATCTTTTTCCATTTAGTATTAATCAACTATAGTCAAACCAATTTTTTGTTAAGGATAATGTATATATAATAGCTGAACACTAAAGATAAGTCCAAGTTACGATAGGTACAAGAAACATCCTATTTTGAAAATTAAATTTTAAGTTTCATAAATAGACATTGCACTTTAGTAAGTAATTAAATTAATTTTATAAAATTAAAAGATTAAACAAAAAAAAAAAAAAAAAGTGAATTAACAACTTAAGTTCTTTGAAGCTTATAAAGATTATGTCTCATGCATTTATGAGCTTTGCAAACAAGATGTCTACTTACTAACTTACAAAAGTTATTAAATAATGACATGTTGTCAAATTAAATATTTACCAATGTTATGAAACCCGACCCGCACAATGACTCGGCTAGGCCATCGAATCCTGGGTCGAGTGATTTAACCAATTTGACCAGCAGGTCAAACCTGTGTCTAAAGGTTTGAAATCCAACAAAAATACCCCTAAAACTTACATGTAAGTCTCTATAGGTTTGAAATCTTGTAAAAACACCCCAAACACCACCGTTGGGGTCAACATATAAGGCCTGTTTCTGGCGACAACAACACTCTCCATCACCACGAAAATGCTCCTCCCAGCCTCCTAACAAAAACCCATCTCACCCCTGCCTCGTTGGCCTCCCCAATCACTGGCAACATCGGGCTTTTCTTGACGACTTATTTTTGCTATTTCCAGTCGATCCACTCACCAAAAATCACATTTGTCGACACCATTCCACTCACCGGCCATTCCTTTTCAAAAGCCTTAACTTTCCAGCCTTCAATTGTTTACGGATTAATGTCCTAATTTTTAAGGTTTTGAATGAATAGAAAAATTTGTAACTTGAGTGGTGAAGGTTCAGGTCCAGGTTGAATCGGCCTAGCCGGGCCGGGTTCCTAATCATTGATATTTATGTATAATGTGTTAG